TATAAGCGTAACCAGTTAGCTATTTAATGCAGTGCGCCTATGAAATCGGTGTACACAAAAAACTTCAATAGCCTCTGGTAACGGTAATATCAGAACAAAGTGTATCTCCTCACTATGTGTTGCGAATTACCACGGTAAGTCAGTGTTCTCGGTTTTATACAATATCAAACAGGCCTATGCCGGTTGATATGGTTAAGTTACATGGCAGTCCCAGTAAAATAAGCGGTTTACCTATATAAGAACAAACGGAACAGATTAACACATAGGTCAAATCTAAACACACTTTAAAGAGTACTGAAGTCTGTGTCATATTCATAAACTATTGCAAAATACTTCAGAACACATTTTCGACTTGAACAAACCGCTCATCTGATATTGACAAAGTTGTGCCCTTCATCCCCTCAGTTTGACATATTCGCATGGCAGGCTGCTGCAGTTGACCCTCTCTGTTTCAGGTTCAATTTATCTATTTTCATCAAGAGTGAGTGAGTGAGTAGCTTTTAGCAATATTCCAGCAATATCACGGCGGGGGACACCAGAAATGGGCTTTACATATTGATCGAACCAAGGTGTTCGGCCAACGCTTTATCCACTGGGCTACCACACCGCCCCTTTTCATCAAGAGGGAATCCTTAGCCGCGATCACAAAAAGGTTTATTTGTTAGCACGGATAGTGTTCATAATACATGCAAACTGTGAAGAAGTATTGTGTGAGGACATTGTGATTTTGATGTTTAGGAGATGTAGGAAAATTCAAACTGTTGTTGGTGTACGTATTTGAGTATGTGGAGTAAATGAGTGAATAAATATTTAACGTCACATCGGCAATATTTCATGACGAAAACATATTTGACGTTGAAATGGAATACGTGTATATTATAAAACCTGTCGTTAAAGGACAGTAACAGAACTAGACTATCACAGTTTGAATTAAAACAAGCATCTTAAGTTCAAAATAATGGCACTATTTGGACAATACATAACACAAAAACAGGCTATAGATCGCCAACAACTGAGATGACCATACTTCGGTCCTTAAGGACTTACAGTACTTTTGCTACCTGCACGGACCCTAACAGGATTTACACCATCCCTTCAGCAACTGGCTATTGTGCTGTGATTTAGCCATAAAAAGGTTGACAGATCAAACTGTACTTTGAAAGTTTGGGGACTTACGTACCCCTTAACCCCCTTTGAGGATACAGCCACTAACAATTTCAGTTACTAATTTATTGTACCAATTTTAATATACCATTGATCTATTTACAAAACACATTATTCAAAAGTTTTCTGATTATTCTATTTCTTTGAAACAACAATTATTAAATGATAATTTACAGTATAAACAAATCCTGAGTTGTTTTGGCACTGAAATATTTGTCCCCTGTGAAGTGAGTGGTGGTACTAAACAAAATGGCGAAGATGTGAACACACAAGTGAAGGCTAGTTCAGCAGCAAGCTGCGGGATGTACATGTAGGAGACTGTGGACATGTGCTTGGATAAAATGCGCTGCAAGAGGAACTAAGAGGTGATTAAACACAGGTGTAAACAGATACCTTCGTATGTAGTGAGTGTGAATTTTTTAAGGTAAATAATAACAAGGACTTAACTGTAATTAAACGCTCAATAACTTAAAGGGAATTTTTCTAATGCGAGCGCGTGACACCAGATGGCGACATTCACGTCCCGGCCAGGGAATCCCAGTGTTGACCCAACTGTCGCGGGGTTTCTATCGCAACTTCCCTGTCACTCAGCCCGTCACAAATGTTCATCTCGATACTGACACCATGAGTCCTCCTGTAACGTGCACCCTCGATGTTTCCCAGAATTAGTCAAGGCTATAGTATACTGCGAGTGGAATCTGTGATTTGCTGTCGTTTGAAGATAAGCAGTGGATGTCACGTGAAACAGACATGACGTGGAAAATGTGAGTTTGGCAATTGCTGTTCATATTCTGATTTCTCTCTTCTGGAGTGAATTATTTATTTTGTTATAAATCATTTCAGAATTGTGACGTTAAATTCATAGAGAGAAATGTTTAGTGTCTGAACGCTGGGTGTTGGTGTCACCACGTCTGGCATGATATGGAACAGCGTCACGTAGGCCTAAAAACAAATTACGTGAACACACATGTAACAATGTGCTGACACTTTCAGTCAACAAACCCTTTTTTCGCGTAAGCCCGGTAGGTTACAAAGCTTCATATTTAGATAGTATTGAGGGCTTGCCAAGCCTATTTAGCAACATTAATGTGTAAACCCGGGCTATTTTTATTATGGTAGCTACGCCCCTGACAGAAATCACCCCATTGAGACAAATACCAGTTAAATCATGAAAACTAGTCTTGAATCCTGTAGGGCGGTGGGGTAACCTAGTGGTTAAAGCGTTCGCTCGTCACGCCGAAGACCCGGGTTCGATTCCCCACATGGGTACAATGTGTGAAGACCATTTTTGGTATCCCCCGCCATGATATTGCTGGAATATTGCTAAAAGCGGCGTAAAACTATACTCACTCACTATTAGATATTAGAATGCACGCTGTAAGAGGATATCTAAGAGTCCTGGGTGCTACTGTACAAAACAACACAAAGGAAAGGTTTTCACAACACGATCTCACACCCAACCTGCTCATGTGTCAACCTACCTTCCTTTTACCTTCGCAACTGACCACAACAGCACCAACCTACCACTTACTTTGCATCTGCTGAGCTTTATACACACGCACACACGTGCCGTACAACGAGCTTATAACACATTCATACATGTATTACAGGTCTTGCCAGGACCACTCAGGTCCTCTTCACGAATGTGACTCATAATATATTACTTTAATGTATTCTTCTAATAATAATAATGGGTCCATTTATATAGCGCCAAACTCCACACCAGGTATACTCATAGCGCTTACAGTGAATAGCACAGCACATTATTACCCCGGATAACCCAAGCTGTCTGTGAGGCGCTAGAATATTATTGTCACGTGGCTTATCCCACCGGGTACCCATTTCCTTCTGGGTGAACAGAGTCAATTCACTCACTTGCGAACTGAATACAATGCTCCAAAAGAAAACAGATATGTGCATCAGGGACACAATGCAGTGTGGATTTTAGTAAGGAACGAGAAAGACATAGGCTAGTGACGCCTCGAGGGCGAGTCGGCTTTTGACTCATCCCAGAACAGATATAGCGATTAAACGATAATGCTGCCAAAATATTTGACACAACCCATTTCGTTCTGCCGTCTCAATGATTTTGTTTTGAGAATACATGCGACTGAAAATTTGAAACAAGCTGCAGGCATTCACTGGCATGTAACGACGATTCAACTGCTGCGCTTTAAATTGTATAAGAAAGGAACATTAAACCATGCACAGCTCTTATTCATCATTGTCATTGCAAATCAGAGTCTACAAATATATCTGATTCATTGTGAAATGTAAGGAATGGAAGCATGGGGATACGTCTATTTACTACTATTGGTACTGAGCTATAGTATCGACGCCTGGTGCTCAAATCTCTGCTGTGTCTGGCCAGTGTTGTCTCAAGTGATTCTGATGTGGGCGGATCCTGGGTTTTCGTTTTGACTGGAGTGTAGTGAAGAGTGTCCAATACAAACTGAGGTTGGTAAAGACATGCTGCAGATGAAAGGTTCCTAATCATGGTCAGGGTCACTGAAGCAAATGTTTGGGGCTTGCTCTTTCAGTGTGATGATGCGAGTCTTGTGAGGTGAGGTGAAATTGGGTTTAACGTCGTTCTTGAGAATATTTCGCTCATATGACGACGTGCATGCGTATGTGTATGTGCAGCTGCTTGTACTAGCCCAGACTGAAGCTGGTTTTATAGTGCTAGCCCACTGAGATACCATGCCGCAGTGAAGCATGAATACCCGACTCAGACTCCGAGCCGACCATTCCTTGTTGTACCCATTAATGCCGAGCGCCAGACAGGGATCAACAAGTACCATATTTTAACGTCTTTTGGTATGACACGGTCGGGGATCGAACCCGCGACCTTCCTCTGTCCGGGCGGACGCTCTAACCACTACACCACAGGTTGGCTTGGGGATGTGGAGCAGGCTTTTTTCGCAAAATGAATTGTTTCGATTTGTATAAGGATTGGGGATTTTCGAAGCGCTGGGGCTAATTTGCTTTGCAGACTTGCACACTTTGCGCCCCTTAAGCTTGCAAAAATGTATAACAGTGATTTGGCAGGTTGATCAAGGGTATGTTTATGTTTCGAGGTTTTTCTGCACGATGCTCGCGTTCGTGAAATTGCGTGATCCCTACCTGACGTTTTTTAATATGGCCCAAGTGTTAAACGTCTATTGTCTACATTATTTCGGGCTTCCCTTCCACTGTAATATGGCACGCCGTGATTCTTGAATACTGCTCAGAACAACCCATCCAGCAACTCAGTAATCTCAGTAAACACCTGCATCAATGTCAAAAAGTATTTCCTGATGTTTATATTTCAAGAACGTCTTGTCCGATAGTTTCTTTTTCTATATTTCAGAGGCCATATTGGAATGTCATCCCTCTGCCAACTTTTCCTCGTCCTTCTGCTGGTGATGCTGACATCGGCTTCACGTCACGGTAACTGTGGCAACAGCTGGTGCAGATGTAACAATATCACCAAGCAAGCAACATGCAAAGGTCACGGAAGGAAACTTACATATATTCCAAGGCTACCGCAGTTCATAACTGACTTGAATTTCTCTAGCAACTTTCTTCCAAACATTTCCTCCAAAACCTTCAAAAACATTCAATCACTCAAGTTAAAAAGGTTAATCCTGACATCAAACAGGATAACAAGAATGCCCGCCGACTCATTTATTCATTTAACTACATTAACAGAGTTGAGTCTTGATGGAAACATTTTCTCAGGAAGGTGTTTAGCAGAAACATTTCCAACTTTGAGCCATCTTCCTCTTGCAAAATTATCACTATGTAGACTAAAGTTGAATGATTCACGCATCTTTCAGCGGTTATACAGCCGTACAATGAAGTCTCTGGACCTATACAAAAACGAGTTTGAAAGTTATAACCAGTCTGACTTTAGCGGCCTCTTCAACATCCAGAATTTATCACTGGCTTATAACTCCATCCGCGTAGTAACTCTGGCGTACGCCCCATCGTTACTCAACTTGAATCTCAAAGACAACTATATTTCCAGGTTTCCCAATTTTTGTTGGACGAATGGGTCCTATTTCCCGAGCCTTGAATCTCTGAAGCTGGACCATAATGACTTTTACACGCCAATTGAGGGTCGTTACATTCAGTGCTTAAAGAATTTGTCAGTTTTCACCATTAACAGCAATGTTCAGATTCCGGAGATAAAGTCAAATTCATTCTCGGAAATGCCCTCGCTAACTAACGTAATCCTCAAGAATGTAGGAGGTGGCACCCTTTATATAGACCAGTATGCTTTCAACAACAGTAAAATAGAATACATCTCTTTGGAATCAAGTCATATAAACTTCACGACTCATGTGCACAAAGACGCATTCAAAGGATGCCCCAATCTACAGTCAGTTGATGTTTCTTATAATAAACTCTCACACACATCCGATCAGGAACTAAACGACTGGTTTGGACACTTAACATCTTTAACAGGAATTGGTCTTGGGAGCTGTGGATTGTTACATTTTCCAAAGTTTATTTCAGTTTCCTTGCACAACTTGCAATACCTGAAACTGTATGAGAATGGCTTTGACGAGTTACCCGTTGGTAGCCTGACACCTTTGAAGAATCTTACCCATATCTGGGTAGCAAAAAACCGATTAGCCAGAATAGATGAACGCGTATTCACCTCCGAAGTCCGACAAAAGCTTGAGATTGCTGATTTTATGAGCAACCCTTTTGCATGTAACTGTGAACTCCTCTGGTTCCTGAACTGGATAAAGTCGGATCGTAAGAAGTTCAAAGACTATCCGAAGAACTACGTGTGTTCCAGTCCTGGGGAAATGAGAGGCAGAGTACTCTCCAAAGTAAATATGCCTGAACAGTCTTGCCTCCTCCCTTTCCCGGCTATCTTTGTCTTAATTGGTTTCTGTGGGATATGCTTCTTTGTCCTCATCTCGGGGTCTGTTGCATACAGGTATCGATGGCACATTCGGCATTATATGTACCAGAGAAGATACCAGACGGGGGAATTCCAGCGACTTGACAACGTAGAGATTATATATGATGCTTATGTAATATATAGTTTGGAAGACATCAGATGGATAAAGAACGAACTCATTCCAAAAGCCGAGGAAACTCATGGATCCAAACTGTACATTCGTGACCGAGACTCTTTGGCTGGTCTCCCTATTGTCGATAATGTTGTTAATAATCTGAATGTAAGTAAAACCATCCTGATTCTTCTGTCTAACGCCATGGCCCGAGATGAACAGTGTCAGTTCGAGCTGATGTTTGTCCAGAGACACCTGGAAGGGGAGAGGAATCCCATCATCCTGGTGCTGCTGGAGGAGGTTCAGGTGGCCCACCTGACTCAGTCAGTGTACGCCCTGGTCAGAATGCATCCCTTTATCCCCTGGGGAGACGAGGAGGATGCCAGAAGATTATTTTGGGATCGCTTATTTTTATCACTTAATCCTGAGCACGGAGTGAGGACAGATGTCGTTGATGGTTAAGTTGTTGACTGTGACACACTGGATCAGTCACGGCTTCTTTTTTGGATCGCTTATTGTCATCACTGGACAATGGCTGAAAAGTCAGACCAGAGGCTGGACATGGTCAACACCTCCCAGGAAATGTCAGTTCATCCTTGGTTGTGAAAAGGTGTAGAACTCAATGACTTTTACATTCGTGACCAATTCGTGCTATTCCGGGACAAGTCGAATAGCGACATCTTCTTGGAGGATACGGAAAGGGGCAATTGGTGACGAATGTGACTTTTAGTTTTGTTTAACACTGATTTCCCGGTATAACAATGGCGCTGCTTGATACGCGGTCAGTTGTGAAGGTTGTAGATGTTTATAACTATGGTGTTGTGTGGTTTTGTGCATAGACCTCGGGTCCCAAAACAGTTAAAATTAAGCAACGTTGGTCATGGAGAGTCCTTGAGTGGGTGACCGTGTTTGGCAGCTTGACTCCTGAAAGTTTCTAAGTCTTCAGCTTGCCCTACAACGAAGGAGACGTGACACATGTGGTCTTGCCTTAGGCAAGCGAGCCTTTGTTCACCCAGCAGTGAATGGGTACCCGGTGGGATAAGTCATGATTATTAACATTCTGGCGCCTCACAGACAACCAGGGGTAATAATGTCCATTATGTTGGATTCGAACTAAAGCGTTCATTCCCTATATTGAAGTATGTGCATGACATGCATCCTGATATCACCCACACAGCTACTTAGAGTATTAATTAGGATGTATGCATGCTTCATTATCTGCTGTACCATGTATGAAGTCACCGCATGTTGTTGACGTGTAACCAGTTCATTTTGACAGACTGAATGATTGGCGGTGTCAGTGATGATGTCAAGGTGAACTTTCGGACTGATCAATGAACAATGAGTTTTGGACACTGGATTTAAGTGAATTACACTTGTGCTGTATATAAGCATGTTATTCTGAACTCCGGTTAAAGCGAAACACTGTAAAAGCCCGAATACCGGGTTCTTACTCTGACACATTGAACGATTATGAGTGTAATTTCCTGTACATTTATATTTGAGTACCTCAGGTCTCAGTTTCCTGCTATCCTGTACAATATCCCGAGGATTATACCAAGGAAATAGTTTCGCTGTTTCTAATGTAATTGCAGTTTAATGTAATTGCTTCAATACATTTCATTAAAGAATACTCGAAAGCGTCAATATGTAGGATAATAACTATCACCTTGTGATAAATGTTTCACTTTACTTTATTGCAGGAATATTGTGGGACGCGGAAGGCGAAACTGGAAATTATTGGCAACAGAAGCTTAAGCCTATCATGAAATCTAACAATGAACGAATTATCCATTTAACTTTTAATGTCCGTGTAATATGTTTCTTTATTTAAATTATCATTAAAAAAGTTTGTTTTTTCCAGCAAAATGTTGAAATGTTTGAAAATATGCGTATCAATGTCTCAGCATAGAAAAAAAAAAAACATTTCGTACTTTGATTACTTATATAATTAGTTGATAGATTGATTTTGTCACACACGAGAGATCCGTGCAGGTTCAGGTTAGACTTGATCTTCAGCAAACCATGCTTGTCGTAAGAGGCGACTAACGGGATCGGGTGGTCAGGCTCGCTGACTTGGTTGACACATGTCATCGGTTCCCAATTGCGTAGATCGATGCTCATGCTGTTGATCACTGGTTACAATTAAACAGTGATGACGAATGGTGTTCGCTAGAGTGGCAGAGTACCTTGACCCATCAGCTTCACACCTGTCGTAAACATGCAGTTGTAAGGGAACGGGTACAGAAAAATGCTCAATTATCTTATAGAAAATACAGAATGGAAAGATTTATATGATGGATGTTTGGATGTTAATGATGCTTGTTCACTATTTTATACCAAATTTACTCAACATGTGAAATCATGTATTCCTTCAAAAATAGTAACTATTCGTCCGAATGACAAACCATGGTATGACTCTAATTTGAGGAGAGAATCCCGAAAAGAGGCCGATTACGAAGAAAGGCGATGGGAACTAAAAAATGATAAAAAAAGCTTATAAACATCAGAGAAATAGAGTAAACAACATGAAATTTTATGCCAAAGAAAACTTTTCTTCTAATATTAATGGCCTACATTTGGAATTATATGCTGAAAATAAATCGTCATAAATTTACGTTATATTGTTAAAAACTCGGGCTCTACTTCGCATATTCTTCCTTTCAAGTAGAATATTGATGGTGAATTCCCAACGCTGTTTTCTTATTTAGAAAAAGCAGAAAACGTAATACATATATTTCGAATCAATAAATCGATTGAATGATAAAGATGTACCATTATCACATTTTCCCTCAAGGACCAACACGCAGTTAGAAAAAATAGTAATTTCTAAGAAGGAAATATCTGATGTTATAAAATGTTTGCAGCTAAACAAAGCTTCAGGGCCGGATAGAATAGGTCATAAATTATTAAAGAACACCGTTGATTCTATATCTGAGCCCCTGTGTTTACTGTTCAATTTATCATTAAAGCATAGTGCGTATCCAAATATGTGGAAAAGTGCACATGTCATGCCACTGTATAAGAAAGGTGATCACTCTATTGTTTCCAATTATAGACCTATTTCTCTTATCAGTTGCATAGGAAAACTATTTGAAAAAGTTGTATATTAATACTTGTATAACTATATATTTCCATGTTAACAAACTTTTATATAAGTACCAATCGGGGTTTAAAGCAGGTCATTCAACTGTCCATCAATTAATTGAACTTTACCATCATATTTGTACATCTCTAGACAGCAAAGATCAAAATTGTATGATATTTTGCGATGTATCTAAAGCTTTTGATCGTGTGTGGCACTAAGGGCTTGTACTTAAATTAGAGAAGTACGCTATTAGAGGCCAGCTTTTACAATGGATTTCAAGTTATATAAGTGATCGCAGTCAACACGTCTTTGTTAATGGAGCTATATCCAAGCCCAGGTATTTAACAGCTGGCGTCCCCCAGGGATCAGTATTGGGACCCTTTTTATTCGTGGTCTATGTTAACGATATTGCTAATAAATTAGATTGTGTAACAAGACTTTTTGCTGATGACACTTCGCTTGGAGAATCATCGAAAAGTACTAAAGAAATCGAAACTTCTCTTAGTGCTAATTTAGATATATTACATAGCTGGAGGAAAAACAAGTTGGTCTCATATAATCCTGCAAAAACAGAAGCAGTGTTGTTTTCTATGATTGATGAAACTGAAGAATTGAAATTAGTTTTTGACGGAAAGCAAATTAATTTGGTAAACAATCATACACATCTCGGAATAACATTTGAAGCAAACGGCAAATGGTCTTGTCACACTGATCAAATTATCAAGTCGTGCTCCAAAATGATATCATCAATGCGAAAATTGAAATATTTAGTAAACAGAAATAAAATCAACAATATTTATAAGATATTTATCAGACCACATTTTGAATATGCTTGTGAATTATGGGATGGTTGTACCGTACAACAGAAGGAAAACTTAGAGAAAGTTCAGTTAGAAGCTGCAAGAATAGTTACCGGTCTTCCTAGATATACCTCACGGGAAATTCTATATTATGAGACAGGGTCGGAAAGACTGGATGAACGAAGGAAAAGAAGAAAACTTTGTCTATTTTATAAAATTCAATTTTTTTTAGCTCCTGTATACTTAAAAGATATTACTCCAGATAGTGTGGGATCCAGATCTAACTAAACCTTAGGAATGCTAACAATATTATCCTTCCTTCTGCAAGGTTAAGACTTTCGTATGATTCCTTTTTCCATGAACTGTAAGAATATGGAATAATATTTCTGAAACCGAAAGAAATCGACCTTCATTACAAAGATTCAAGTCATATTTAAAGGATGAGCAACCTGTAACTCCATCATATTACTTGTTTGGTATTAGAAAATTTAATATTATTCACACACAGTTGAGATATATGTCTAGACAGTTAAATTATGATCTGTATCGTTTCAACATGAAAGATTCTGCTTCTTGTTACTGTGACAATGCTTGTGAAAATGTACATCACTTCCTATTAGAATGTAGACTGTACAGCATTCAAAGAGAGATATTAATGTTAAATATTAAAAATATTGTAAAACGTGATTCTCCAATCACATTGTCACTGATGTTACTTGGAAGTCCTGACCTGACTATTCAACAGAATGCAATTTCAAATGTGTGCAAACTTTTATTCATCGATCAAAACGTTTTGAGTGATCACATAAGTCGTGTCCCTTCCTGTCTTCTCTCTTTTACTTTCCTATCTCATCTCTGTATTCTTTCCTAAGATGTATATAATTGAAATTGTATGTATGTAAATGTTAGGGAGCGGGTATGGATAACTTGGCCCCAATCCCTTTCACATTTGTGAATAAAATATGTTTAAATCAATCACAGAAATATAGGAACTTTTATTTGACATTGACAATATTGCTCAACATTGTGATTCTGAACTCTTCGTAGTTTTCACATTCATTATAACAAGGAACAACGCTGAAGCGGCCATAAAATCCCAAGCTTTTGTAGTGGTATGCCGCTAGAAGAACATCCCCCGTTGTACATAAACGCAAGCGAAGTGCTTCATGACGTAACTGTTGGACTGTGCTTGTATACGTTACCCGTAAACATCCGGCATTCAACTGGTCTTCAGCAACCGATTCTTGTCGTAAGAGGCGACTAACGGGATCGGGTTGTTAGGCTCGCCGACTTGGTTGATATCGTATCCCAATTGCGTAGATGGATGTTGATCACTGGATTCATCACCGAATCTCAGTGACCCATGCATATAATTGTCAGCACTAATTTACCTTCTACGTCAGATTGAATCTGTTTTGGTATCTTCTTTTGTAAATTCACAGGCGTTGACGCACTGGGTAGATTTTTTCATAGGCCCCCGTTGCGGGTCAGAAAATCGATAAACTAGGCCCCGGTTTAGTATCCACCCCACCCCCCCCACACACACACACACACCCCACACACCCCTACTATATAACACATAAAGGTTCATCACAGAAATACGGTGACATGATCGAAAACCGGACAATTACGCACACATATACCAATATATTGTATTTTCAAGGTCTAACAAGTATCAAAAGTTTTTGTCCATGTCTATGATGTATGTAGGGGTTATATACACATGCTTCCTGTGGGGATGCATTTGTTGTTTTTTATCAAATCGCCAAAGACCCAGTTGCAGTGCCGGAAGTATACAAAACTAGGTCGTCAGCGCAATCAAATTGGTTAATAAAATGACAACAAATGCACGTGCGAAAATGAGAGGGAAACTCAAACGTCTTTCATCCAAGATGTCACGGTCTGATGTTTTATATTGGTAAGAATAATTTTAAAAACTAATAAAAATATTTTTTAAAGAAACACATAATAATCCATTCATTCAGTGTAATGTGGTAGCCAATCAGATCGCCGGAGGTAGTGAAGTCAAGCGCTGACGACCTAGTTTTGTATACTTCCGGCACAGCAACTCGGTCTTTGGCGATTTAATAAAAACCATCAAATGCATCCCCACGGAAAGCGCATGTATATGCCCCCTACACACATTGGAGATATGGACAAGAGCTTTTGATACTTGTGAGACCTTTAAAATAGGATATATTCATTGATGTGTGCGTAATTGTCCGGTTTTCGATCATGTCACCGTATTTCTGTGATGAACCTTTACATGTTATATAGTAGGGGATGTGGATACTAAACCGGGACCTAGTTTATCGGTTTTCTGACCCGCAGTGGGGGCCTATGGATTTTTCTACTTTTGGTCTTATAACCATTTGATGTTGATGTATGTCGTGGTTCATAAACAAGTCAGAAGCATCTTATCACTTTTGCTGAATCTATTGGATCGAGACTGTGTTTCAAGTCATTGTTGGTGTTCCGCGACTAAGGTAAGCATGTCTTTCCTAATGAACTGCCATCCACACCATTCGCATAAACACTATTGAGTGAGTGACACACATTGTACCCATGTGGGGAATCAAACTCGGACCAGCAGAAGGCAAGCCAGGTACAAGGAGGGACGAACACTGACCAGCCAATTCAGCCCATCTGCTGCCCAAGCCTTCTCCTGATAGTAGTCAAGGTTATTTGTTTTAGTCATTCCAATGTATCATGTAAATTACCCTTCCAAGTACGTGTGTACGTGTATATGCTGGGTTGCAGGATGCAGAAGAGGTATCAAAAGGTATCAGTACTCCTTCGGTTTTCCTTCAGTACTGAGCACAAGGTGTTATTATAAAGGAAATACGTTTGCAGAGAAGCCAAGGGAGGAGAGAGCGTATGATGATCGTGCGACCAAGGAGACAGGAAGAAGGGAGGACCAAGGGCAAGATCATCCACCTAGGCGCCAACTAAATGCCACCTAGACGCCAGTCAGCGACAAGTGGATGACAAGCATTGTAGTACACTTCACGAGAGCATCTCCATGGGAGCACACCTCGGGGACTGTGACAGTTTTGTAAAATTCCGGTTTGGGAACGTTTCCGGGATTTTAGAAAAGTTAAAGGAGAGTGACTTTTGTACTTATGTGTATTCTCAGCCTTTCGGTATAGTTGGACATACACACATGTGGAGTAAAGATTCAGATTTAGACGTTTGTTTTTACAGATTTTCAAACTATGAGTAAATTTTAATATCAGAACTGATGCCTATTAGATTTAAGCCAATTTTGAATAATCATTTTGTGGATGGGAGGTGTAGTGTGTGAGTGAGTGAGTTGAGTTTTACGCCGCACTCAGCAATATTCCAGCTATATGGCGGCGGTCTGAAAATAATCGAGTCTGGACCAGACAATTCAGTGATCAACATCATGAGCATCGATCTGCACAATTTGGAACCGATGCCATGTGTCAACCAAGTCAGCGAGCCTGACCACCCGATCCCGTTAGTCGCATGGGTTACTGAAGATCAATATTCTAACCCGGACCTTCACGGGTCGATGTGAGATGTAGTTCAGATGGAAATGTTGGTGATTGATGAGTGCTTATTAAACGGTAGATGACCTGTGTTCAGCTGTCCCAGGAAAAACCCGTGAAAATCTGTCAAATCCTCCAGATGTGATAATTCATGCTGATTGTGACCACCTGTCAAAGGAAGATGCAGGTTATTATATAAACGTACAAAACGCATCGATAAACATTCTTTTCGAGAATATAACAGTATGAGAAGCAAGTATACTGATAACCTTGCTTTCATCGTGAATCTTGACATGCATCACCAGAGGATCATCCGATAAATAAATATATGCAAATGTACACAATAAAATTCTATCATGAAGAGCCTCCACATTAATCAAACCGCGTCCACCAGAATTGATTGGCATATATAAACGATAAAGAGAGGAACGAGGGTGGTGGGCTCTGTTCACAGACATGATCCTTCTGGACAGGCGGTCAGGACTCTGGATGTCTTGTTTTGTCCAATCAACTACTCCAAAGGAATAGGAAAGGACTGGCATAGCATAAGTATTGGTGGCTTGACCTTGTTTTGAGAATTCAGCTCTGAACTCCAAATTTTCTTTGAGCGAGATTTATACTCGGCCCGAAGTTCGTCTTGAATCTGGGCATTCTGGAGCTTGTCTTGAACTTATATTCCAAGATAGGTGTAGGCCTCATGTATATTGTTTGAATTGTATGCATTGAATCTACAATGTACTGTAAACCTGTGGCTTTTTCAGTGGCAAATAATGATTGTTACATGGCAGAGTTAGTTATTGTGTAACAGTGTACCAAGTGCATAATATTGTTTCTGTTGACATTCAGTAGGAGGCATTACATGTAGGCTTGTGTGATATCCAGACACGGCCATGGAAGGTACTGCAATGTCCTACAGCCATATGGACCTTCTACCAATACGATCAGGGAGATGGAGTATCTTCTGGCGTCTTTTTCTTACATACATAAGGGGCGCTAGCTCCTGCCTCTCAACCTCACATTCCATCTCAAGCTGCAAGAAGACCAGCAATTGTTCAAAACATAACTCCATGTAGGAAGGGGGCATTGTACGTGTGGCATTCTGAAGGTTTTACATCACTACCACTATATACTACTAACGGTAATATCAGAACAAAGTGTATCTCCTCACTCTCTGTTGCGAATTACCACGGTAAGTAAGTGTTCTCGGTTTTATACAATATCAAACAGGCCTATGCCGGTTGATATGTTTAAGTTACATGGCAGTCCCAGTAAAATAAGCGGTTTACCTATATATGAACAAACGGAACAGATTAACACATAAGTCAAATCTAAACACACTTTAAAGAGTACTGAAGTCTGTGGCATATCCATAAACTATTGCAAAATACTTCAGTACACATTTTCGACTTGAACCAGCTGCTCATCTGATAGTGGCAAAGGTGTGCCCTTCATCCCCTCAGTTTGACATGTTCGCATGGCAGGCTGCTGCAGTTGACCCTTTCTGTTTCAGGTTCAATTTATCTATTTTCATCAAGAGTGAGTGAGTGAGAAGCTATAATTTACAGTATAAACAAATCCTGAGTTGTTTTGACACTGTTACCAATATTCCAGCAATATCATGGCGGAGGACACCAGAAATGGGCTTCACATTTTGATCGAACCAAGGTGTTCGGCGAAGGTGTTCCTTAGCCGCGATCACAAAAAGGTTTATTTGGTAGCACGAATAGTGTTCATAATACATGCAAACTGTGAAGAAGTATTGTGTGAGGACATTGTGATTTTGATGTTTAGGAGATGTAGGAAAATTTAAGATTCAAACTGTTGTTGGTGTACGTATTTGAGTATGTGGAGTGAGTGAGTGAATAAATATTTAACGTCACATCGGCAATATTTCATGACGAAAACATATTTGACGTTGAAATGGAACACGTGTATATTATACAACCTGTTGTTAGAGGACAGTAAAACAACTAGGCTATCACAGTTTGAATTAAAACTAGCATGTTAAGTTGGACAATAAATAACAAAAAGACATCGCCAACAACTGAAATCACCATAATTGGGTCCATAAGGACGTACAGTACCTTTGCTACCTGCATGGACCCTAAAATGACATTAATACTATAAAAAGGTTGACGGATCAAAATGTACTTTGAATGATTTGGGACTTACGTACCCACTCAGGAGGACAATAATTTTACAATACCTTAACCTCTTTGAGGATACAACCACTAACTATCTCAGTTACTAATTTATTATACCAATTTTAAAACACCATTGATCTATTCACAAAACACATTATTCAATTTTTTTATGACAATTCTTTAAAACAGACAATTATTGAATGATAATTCACATTATAAAAACATCCTTAATTGTTTTGACACTGAAGTGTAACCCTTGTGAAGTGAATGTGTGGTACTGAACTGAAACGGAGAATATGTGGGTTATTTCCCATCCATCACAAGTGAAGGCTAGTTCAGTAGCAAGCTGCGGGATGTACATGTAAGAGGCTGTGGAACTATGCTTGGATAAAATGCGCTGCAAGAGGAACTACGAGGTGATTATACGCAGGTGTAAACAGATACCTTCGTATGTGCTGAGTGTGGATTTGTAAGGTAAATAATAACATGGACTTAACTGTATATAGATCACGGGAAACGCCCAATAACTCAGAGGGAATTTTTCTAATGTGAGCGCACGACGGTGTGACCCATAATAGCGACATGCACGTCCCAGTCAGTGAATCCCAGTGTTGACCCAACTATCGCGGGGCTTCTATCGCAACTTCCCAGTCACTCAGCCCTTGACAAATATTAATCTCGATACTGACACCATGAGTCCTCCTGTAACGTGCACCCTCAACGTGTCCCAGAATTAGTCACGACTATAGTATACTGCGAGTGGAATCTGTGAATTGCTGTCGTTTGTAGATAAGCAGTGGATGTCACGTGGAGCAGACATGACGTGGAAAACGTGAGTTGGCAATTGCTGTTCATATTCTGATTTCTCTCTTCTGGAGAGAATTATATATTTTGTGATAAATCATTTCAGAGTTGTGACCTTAAATTCATAGAGAGAAATGTTAAGTGTCTGAACGCTGGGTGTTGGTGTCACCACGTTTGACATGATATGGAACAGCGTCACGTAGGCCTAAATACAAATTACGTGAACACACAGGTAACAATGTGCTGACACTTTCAGTGTACAGACAGGCGCGTAGCAAGCCTTTTTTTCGCGTAAGCCCGATAGGTTACAAAGCTTCATATTTAGATAGTATTGAGGGCTTGACAAAGCCTATTTAGCAACATTAATGTGTGAGCCCGGGCTATTTTTATTATGGTAGCTACGCCCCTGACAGAAATCACCCCATTGAGACAAATACCAGTTAAATCACGGAAACTAGTCTTGAATCCTGTGGGGCGGTGGCGTAACCTAGTGGTTAAAGCGTTCGCTCGTCACGCCGAAGACCCGGGTTCGATTCCCCACATGGGTACAATGTGTGAAGACCATTTCTGGTGTTCCCCGCCGTGATATTGCTGAAATATTGCTAAAAGTGGCGTAAAACTATACTCACTCACTATTAGATATTAGAATGCACGCTGTAAGAGGATATCTAAGAGTCCTGGGTGCTGTTGTACAAAACAACACAAAGGAAATGGTTTTAACTACACGATCTCACACCCACCTGCTCATGTGTCAACCTACCTTTCTTTTACCTTCGCAGCTGACCACAACAGCACCAACCTACCACTTACTTTGCATCTGCTGATCTTTATACACACGCACACACGCACACACGCACACACGCACACACACATACGTGCCGTACCACGAGCTTATAACACATTCATACATGTATTACAGGTCTTGCCGGGACCACTCAGGTCCTCTTCACGAATGTGACTCATAATATATTACTTTAATGTATTCTGCTATTTCACAACCACTTGTCATTGTTGACTGTCTACTGTAGTCCCATGTCATTGTGACTGACGGAAACATTTATCGACAAATGCATATCAGTTAATGGTGACGGCGGTTTGTGAATCACTGAGTCTCATAACTCTCAGTTCTCATAAGCATCTATCTGCGCATACCTTGAGATGAATTAATCAAGTCAGCGAACCAGAACACCCGATCTTGTAAATCCTGCTGAAGAGTAGTCTGTACTACAGACCCTGAAGCAAATATATTCAAGAAAGCCCACGCAAGTGTAGAAAATGTGGCAAGTCTAGATTTCCTCAGCGCTTGAAAATGAAGAAAATCTCAGGGCTCCTTTTCATGATATTTTATTTTTGTTTACTATGAACTTTTTTTCAGGAAAATATGTTCATTTCAGAGACTAGTTGTTAGTCTAGCTGAAGAGCAGCTCGGTGTTTTAAAAACACAACTTTTAGTGAGGTCACTGGGGCAAGCAACCTTTCTGTTTGTGTTCTGATCCTCCCGTTGGAACACGTGATCTTCGGAATGTTTACTTGCGAGCTTACCGACTCAGTTATGTCCACATCGTTGGTGCAAATTACCTGGTCATTCCTAACACGTTGTGGCAATGCACGGACAGGGTTGGCAAGATGACAGTCATACGGACATGTCTTAAACCCTCCCACCCCACCCTGACTCCGCCAATGCAAAACATTAACTTCAATGTGGCCTTTAGACATTTTCAATTTTCAAAGTGGTGTGTGTGTGTGTGTGTGTGTGTGTGTGTGTGTGTGTGTTCCCAGAACACACACACACACACACCCCAGATCCGCCACTGCTTTAGTCTAATAATGATAATGGGTCCATTTACATAGCGCCAAACTCCACACCAGGTATACTCGTAGCGCTAAAAGTGAATAGCACAGCACATTATTACCCCGGATAACCTAAGCAGCCTTTGAGGCGCTAGAATATTATAGTCACATGACTTATCCCACCGGGTACCCATTTCCTTCTGGGTGAACAGAGGCAATTCACTCACTTGCGAACTGAATACCATGCCCCAAAAGAAAACAGATATGTGCATCAGGGACACAATGCAGTGTGGATTTTAGTAAGGAACGAGAAAGACATAGGCTTGTGACGTCTCGAGGGCGAGTCGGCTTTTGAAAACGATAATGCTGCCAAAATATTTGACACAACCCATTTCGTTCTGCGGTCTCTATGATTTTGTTTTGAGAAGACATGCGACTGAAAATTTGAAACAAGCAACTGCAGGCATTCACTGGCATGTAACGACGATTTAACTGCTGCGCTTTAAATTGTATAAGTAATGAACATTAAACCATACACAGCACTTATTCATCATTGTCATTGCGAAACAGAGTGTACAAATGTATCTGATTCATTGTGAAATGTAAGGAATGGAAGCATATGGATACGGATATTTACTACTATTGGTACTGAGCTATAGTATCGACGCCTGGTGCTTAGATCTCTGCTGTGTCTGGCCAGTGTTGTCTCAAGTGATTCTGATTGGGGCGGGTCCTGGGTTTTCGTTTTGACTGGAGTGTAGTGAAGAGTGTCCAATACAAACTGAGGTTGGTAAAGACATGCTGCAGATGAAAGGTTCCTAGTCATGGTCAGGGTCACTAAAGCAAATGTTTTGGGCTTGTTCTTTCAGTGTGATGATGCGAGTCTTGTGAGGAAGGTCAGGTCTTGGGATTTAAGACGTGCAGGATGGTAAGAGTTGAAGTGAATGTACTGCTAGTGAGAAAGGTGAAGTGAATACCCCAATGGAAACAAGGATGTCTAGGAATGTTGGGGACCAACAAGTTGGTTGACGCGGTCGGGGATCAGTCTCCATGGTTAAACATACTCAGTGTTGTTGTGGTGCTGTAGTGCTGAGGCTGAGTCCTAGGGCTCCCTTCACGAAGCAACCTTTACTAAGGTTAACTTTAACTCCCATTCTTTAACATTGCACTAAGGTTACTTTAGTGACTTACGATCACCTTAGTGCTTTGTGGAAGGAGGCCCTGGTCTCTGCTGAGGGTAACAAAGGTGTCATCTACCGTCCTTTACCTGCTAACAGGTTGGCTTGGGGATGTGGAGAGGGCTTTTTTCGCAAAATGAATTGTTTTGATTTGTATAAGGATTGGGGATTTTCGAAGTGCTGGGGCTACCAATGTCTAATTTGCTTTGCAGACTTGCACACTTTGCGTCCCTTAAGCGTGCAAAAATGTATGACAGTGATTTGGCAGGTTGATCAAGGGCATGTTTATGTTTCGAGGTTTTTCTGCACGATGCTCGCGTTCTTGAAATTGCCTGATCCCTACCTGACTTTTTTTTAATATGGCCCAAGTGTTAAACGTCTAATGTCTACATTATTTCGGGCTTCCCTTCCACTGTAATATGGCACGCCGTGATTCTTGAATACTGATCAGAGCAGTGTCATCCAACAGCTCAGTAATCTCAGTAAACACCTGCACCAGTATCACAAAGTATTCCCTGACGTTTAGATTTCAAGAACGTCTTGTTCGATAGTTTATTTTTCTATATTTCAGAGGCCATATTGGAATGTCATCCCTCTGCCAACTTCTCCTCGTCCTTCTGCTGGTGATGCTGACATCGGCTTCACGTCACGGTAACTGTGGCAACAGCTGGTGCAGCTGTAACAATATCACCAAACAAGCAACATGCAAAGGTCACGGAAGGAAACTTACATATATTCCAAGGCTACCACAGTTCATAACTGACCTGGATTTCTCTAGCAACTTTCTTCCAAACATTTCCTCAAAAACCTTCAAAAACATTCAATCACTCAAGTTAAAAAGGTTAAGCTTGACATCAAACAGGATAACAAGAATGTCCGCCGACTCATTTATTCATCTAACTACATTAACAGAGTTGAGTCTTGATGGAAACAATTTCTCAGGAAGGTGTTTAGCAGAAACATTCCCAACTTTGAGCCATCTTCCTCTTGCAAAATTATCACTATGTAGACTAAAGTTGAATGATTCACGCATCTTTCAGCGGTTATACAGCCGTACAATGAAGTATCTGGACCTAGACAGAAACGAGTTTGAAAGTTATAATCAGTCTGACTTTAGCGGCCTCTTCAACATCCAGAATTTATCACTGGCTTATAACTCCATCCGTGAAGTAACTCTGGCGTACGCCCCATCCTTACTCAACTTGAATCTCAAAGACAACTATATTTCCACGTTTCCCAATTTTTGTTGGACGAATGGGTCCTATTTCCCGGGCCTTAAATCACTGAAGCTGGACCATAATGACTTATACACGCCAATTGAGGGTCGTTACATTCAGTGCTTAAAGAATTTGTCAGTCTTCACCATTAACAGCAATGCTCATATTCCGGAGATAAAGTCAAATTCATTCTCGGAAATGCCCTCGCTAACTAACGTAATCCTCAAGAATGTAGGAGGTGGCTCCCTTTATATAGACCAGTATGCTTTCAACAACAGTAAAATAGAATACATATCTTTGGAATCAAGTGGTCTAAACTTCAAGACTTATGTGCACAAAGACGCATTCAAAGGATGCTCCAATCTACAGTCAGTTGATGTTTCTTATAATAAACTCTCACACACATCCGACCAGGACCTAACTGACTGGTTTGGACACTTAAAATCATTAACAGGAATTGGTCTTGGGAACTGTGGATTGTTATCGTTTCCAAACTTTATTTCAGTTTCCTTGCACAACTTGCAATACCTGAAACTGTATGGGAATGGCATTGACGAGTTACCCGTTGGTTGCCTGACACCTTTGAAGAATCTTACCCATCTCTGGCTAGCGAGTAACCGATTAGCCAGAATAGATGAACGCGTGTTCACCTCCGAAGTCCAACAAAAGCTTGAGATTGCTGATTTTATGCACAACCCTTTTGCATGTAACTGTGAACTCCTCTGGTTCCTGAACTGGATAAAGTCGGACCGTAAGAAGTTCAAAGACTATCCGGAGAACTACGTGTGTTCCAGTCCTGGGGAAATGAGAGGCAGAGTACTCTCCAAAGTAAATATGCCTGAACAGTCTTGCCTCCTCCCTTTCCCTGCTATCTTTGTCCTAATTGGTGTGTGTGGGATATGCTTCTTTGTCCTCATCTCGGGGTCTGTTGCATACAGGTATCGATGGCACATTCAATTTTTTATGTACCAGAGAAGATACCAGAGGGGGGAATTCCAGCGACTTGACAACGTAGAGATTATATATGATGCTTATGTAATATATAGTTTGGAGGACATCAGATGGATAAAGAACGAACTCATTCCAAAAGCCGAGGAAACTCATGGATCCAGACTGTACATTCGTGACCGAGACTCTTTGGCTGGTCTCCCAATTGTCGATAACGTTGTTAATAATCTGAATGTAAGTAAAACCATCCTGATTCTTCTGTCTAATGCCATGGCCCGAGATGAGCAGTGTCAGTTCGAGCTGATGTTTGTCCAGAGACACCTGGAAGGGGAGAGGAATCCCATCATTCTGGTGCTGCTGGAGGAGGTTCAGGTGGCCCACCTGACTCAGTCAGTGTACGCCCTGGTCAGAATGCATCCCTTTATCCCCTGGGGAGACGAGGAGGATGCCAGAAGATTCTTTTGGGAACGCTTATTTTTATCACTTAATCCTGAGCGCAGAGTTAGGCCAGATCTTGCTTAATTTGTTGACTTTGACACATTTGATGTGACGCAGCTTCTTATAAAACCTTTAAATTTCACAATGCTTTTAGTTATCGATTCGCCAATTATACAATGTACCTTGTATTATTTGAAAGCGTGACTTTCAGAATCCATCCCATAGAAGCTAAGTGTCCTTTGAAACCTTTCAAGCTTATATGTGTTTTAACCATATCCTGTACATATCTTTACCTCGTCTTCTGGTCCACCTGTACAGGGGCACGACGTCCACAACATCATTTCTCTTTGTTGTACTGTTGCAGACTAACTTTATTATTTGAAGAAATGTTTCAACGTTTTGTTTGATAAATGTGACCCTTATCATGAAATGCATCAAGCGTATTTTGCCTGATTGTGCCCACTTTGCAACTGCAAGGAATTCTTTTCATTGAAGAAAACACCCAAAAGACCTTAAAGCAGGTATCTGGTCTTTATGAAAATAAAAGAATTGGTCGGTATCATAGATTGCAAATATTGAAATTATCACCATGGTTATTCCACTTTATGTATTTGTCTAGATGCTTGTAATACTTTGCCAAGCTATTTTGTCTGCTATGTATCTGTTTGCTATGTACGAAGGATGTTTAAAATGTTTCTCGCCACTGTGTTGCTATGATAGTCCTCAAAGGATGTTAAAAACTTTGTGACAGAAATGCCAGGAAAGAACTTTGTAATCGCACATGCAACTGAATTGAAAAGAAATAATTATATGACTAATCTAAGTCAAAGTACCAAACAGTGCCAATTTCAACAAGGAAACAAAGAAATATTTTCAATACAAAAATCCTGTTATTACTCCATTAGTATTATTTTACTTTTCTTTTAGTCAAAATGACAAATTCTTACTTCACACCAAAGTGTTTACGGTATTTCTCTGGAATTGCAACCTTGTGCAAGCTTTGCCATGTACATTTGATGACATGACAAGTTGTTCTGCTCTTGCTGAATCAAGAACAGGGGAATTAACCTAAGCAGTTTGCTTGGTACATGTCATGGTATCCCAGTTGCAGAAAATACCTTACCAAGTCTGTAAAGAGGAAATTATAGGGAAATCAGTTTCACAAATGCGGGAATATGTGACTTGGACTAGAGGTAAAGTTGGGACAGGTTAAGTGATAAACGTATATACGCTTCCCTGTCTTATAGAAATATGTGCAAACTGACATGTCTTGGAATGAAAGAAATCCTGTAGAAGAGTGGACAAAATATCAGTGACCATTCCAAAGCTCTGTAAAGCAATAGCTTTTGATGTGAGTTTACATGTATATTTACTCACATTGTGAAGAGCAGATAAGGACATGACGCAATCTCTTAGTGCTTTAGAGTGGTCCCAAACAACATATACTTCTCGTAAGTGGCGATTAATTTGAATCATGTCTAATTTGTTTGAGTGTTTTCATCGGCTTGGGACGTTACTCACAATAGCAACCACTAGTTTCTCTGTGTTAGATTCGAATTTGCTGAGGCGGCCGTGATGTAGCATGAATGTTGTTGACTGCGGCGTTCAATTGCAAACTTTTCATCTTCGTTAACAGACAGACCAACATGCACAGCTGTTGTTGGATGCTGTTGGTTTTCCTTGCACCGTGTATTGATCTTGAGTGTAACAGTCCACTGTAACTACGGATGACAACATTACGATGGTAACGTTGTTGCAGGTGACATGTGACATAGTACGTTCATATATCTTAGCTGAACCGAACGCCAGAACAGATGAATGCATTGGGTTTGTTCTATTGACATTTTACACAATCCCTTATATGTTTTTGTGCTTAATTTCTGACGCGTTCAGCAATATTGAGTTACATAGAGGCCACCTTTATATAATCACTCGGCCAGAACATTTGTCGTCGCTAATGTCATAGCGACCTTTTCATGACAGATAGACAGTTTTGCTTTTATTATCATATCATTATCATAGTTGATGATCCTATTCCACTTTACGGTTTATGTTCAAACGTTAACATGGTGACGTAAACCTGTCTAAACTGTTGTATGTATGTATGTATGTATGTATGTATGTATGTATGTATGTATGTATGTATGTATGTATGTATGTATGTATGTATGTATGTATGTATGTATATATATATATACGCACACAATGTCCAAAGTGACGTACAGGTGTTCAGTTAACATATTAAGATTACATACATAAATATCTTGAGAACCACTTTTTCTCCAACATGTTTCGTTCTTTACTCTTCAGGGAGATTGACCTTGTATGTATGTATGTATGTATGTATGTATGTATGTATGTATGTATGTATGTATGTATGTATGTATGTATGTATGTATGTATGTATGTATGTATGTATGTATGTATGTATGTGTGTGTGTGTGTGTGTGTGTGTGTATGTATGTATGTATGTATGTATGTGTATATGTGTGTGTATATATATATATATGTATATATATATATATATAGGTGTGTGATCAGGTCTGTACATTGGGAACAATTTAACAAAAAGCAATATGAACTACACTACTGACGTAATACAAAATATAAAGTCAGTAGATTTTGGACAAACAAGAAATTGTCATTCACTGTGTCTGATATGGATGTAATTTTCAGCTGAGTTCCAGGCCTGTTTTCGGCCAAGTCACGTTTTGAAAACGTTTGCAATATATTGTCAAATGCAAGGGTATAATTTCTTTAGCCCATATATATATATGTGTGTGTGTATGTGTGTATATATATGTATTTAGGTGTGTGAGAGAGAGAGAGAGAGAGAGAGAGAGAGAGAGAGAGACAGAGAGAGAGACAGAGAGAGAGACAGAGAGAGAGATCAGGTCTGTACATTGGGGACAATTTAAAAGAACAACAACATGAACTACACTACTGACCTAATACGAAATACACAATACACACGTCGTAAGGTCAGTAAATCATTCACCATGTCAGCCCTACTTTTGCTGAGTTTCAGGCCTGTTTTCAGCCTAGTCACGCTTTGGAAACGTTTGCAAAATATTGTGAAATCCAAGGGTATAGTTTCTTTTGCCCGGCATTGTAGTTGGGCGGTCATGTACCATGTTCATCAGAATGCATGCAACTTTTCACTGTATACATCGTGTTTATATGTATGCTAACTGAGATAAGACATGGAATATGTAAAACAATTTTCTTCACTTGTAGGCATAATGCCTTTGAAGATATGTATTCGTTGTATACCATCATCACGATGTTTTATGGCGTATCTACATGTGGATAAACGAAGACCTTAGACAGTTGGTGTATATTGTGTATCATTCTGCGTTAATCACATGCATTTCCACACTATATGTCCTTTACACTTATCGATTTTGCAGCTAGTTAAACGTCTACCCTATTTCATTTCTAAGAAGCCGAGTGGTGGGGTAGCCTTGTGCTTAAGCGTTCGCTCGTCATGCCGAAGACCCGGCTTCGATTCCCCATATTGGTACAATGTGTAAGTGTGAGTGGGTGAGTTATATGGCTGCGGTTTGTAAAGTATTGTGTCTGGACCAGACAATCCAGTGATCAACAGCATGGCCATCGATCTACGCAACTGGGACATGTGTCAATCAAGTCAGCGAGCCAGACCACCCGATTCCGTCACTCGCCTCTTACAACAAGCATGGGTTGCTGAAGATGAATTCTAACCCGGGTCTTCACTGGTCGAATAGGTGAGAAGTAAACCAGCAGGTATTAATAAGATCCCGTTTCGTAGTGTTTTATGTATATACTGCCGCAATGTATACACCAGGAGAATAAAGCCCATCGTTAGTGAAGAACATAATTCCAGTTGTTTCTTGACATAAAGGTTCCTGTGACATGCAATGCGAAATGTAAACAATGGAACCCTTTCAAATTTCAACAGCGATATTTGCTTAGATATCTCATGTCAGCTCGTTCCTGCCGCGAAATGAATTATGTACACACCACTACGTAAGATATATTGTTGTAGCCATGTAAGAAATGGTTGTTTTAACTTCACTTACGTGACTCACCACATTGTGATGACTGTAAAACTTTGGAGAATGTTTCCCATTATTTTTATTATTGTAAAAATGTTACTTCAATGATTAATGATTATGTAAAGTTTCTTTCTAAGTATTCACAGCAACTATTTTCTGTGGAATCCCTCTTGTTCGGTTTAACAGATCACTTTGACCCAACATTTGAGTGTTTTTAAATATGCATTTAAAATACTTTATATATAAGTCTCACTATACCGATATCAAACTTTCCAGGAAGCATTTCATTATAGATTTGAAATATGCTTTGGAAATATATAAATATTCAAAGGAAAAGTTCAAATATATAGAAGCACTAATGTTAGATTTTCAAAAGAATATATAATTTGTAAAAAAGTAAGTCTATAAACCAGCAGTCCCAGTAGTATGGTTTATTTGTAAAACCGTAGCTGCCAAGGCTCAATAACAAATAAATATAAATCTTTAATCTTTACATTCAACGTACAACACAGTGACGAACACCAGACCCATGCTACACGGAGTCCTCACACGCACAAACACATTCCTTCTTCGAGTATAGCCCGATAGGTTCGGAATCTTTATATTTAGATAGCAGTGAGGGCTTGTCCAACCTTTCTAGCAACAATTCTGTGTAAGTCCGGGCTTTTTTATAATGGTAGCTACGCCCCTGTCTTTTGAACGACATTTTCACGCCCATTTTGATATTTTGGCAAGGATTAATCTTCATTATAATGCGCATCTGTCAACAGTACAATTGAAAAACAGTTCATCGCGTGTGACGATAAATATTAACTCACTCACTCACTTATCGCATTTAATCAAACACCCAAGCGTAGTCACGTGCTGATTTGACCTTCCTTTAAGCCTGCACTTTAAACACTGAGATAACACTCTAGAAACCATACAATGCATTGTAAAGTCTCCAGCCAGGTAACATTGACATGGACTGTAATGATTTATCTGCTGACTAAGTAAACCTGGTCTCTATAGTAAATTTCGATATCTGTCCTAAGGCCTCTAAGCATGTAGACATGTCAAATAGATTGTATCTTGGTGGTGTTACGACGTTTGTCATAATACGGGGTGACAGCTGGGAGTTAGGAAAGATTCTGTATTATGAATACCAAGCAACAGAGGTTAGCGGGACAACTCGTACCAAGAACGCCACACATGTGTTCCCAGGCAAAAGATTGACTTCGTGTTTGTCGTGGTGATTGCATACATGTGCACAGTTCCAACTACCAACCCAAAGACTGGTAGACTAACATCTTGTTAACATCCGCATCCGCACCGCACCCGCACCCGGACCCGCACCCGCACCCGCACCCGCACCCAGAATACGACCTGGGAGCCCCTTAGTTTGCTCAGCACCACAACATGGTATAGCTACCTGGGATTTTAGTGACACCATACAAGTTACCTTACGAGGTAGAACCGTCATGGCTATGTATAAATATTGGACTAATGGTCTATGTAGGTAAAGGCGAATACGTCTGTACCCCGCTATAAGAAATACATTCAAGCTTTGAGTTATCGTGGGGAACACATGCCATTGCCTTCACACATTAGACGATGCCGACATTTCTGGTGTCCCCCGCCGTGATATTGCTGGAATATTGCTAAACAGCGTAAAACCATACTCAGTCAGTCAGTTAGACGATGCCGACATTTTACTAAAACATCATGTGTTCAAGTTATGAACCGAACAAAAGATTGTTGCTTTAATAACGGTGTTGAAATCTACCCATACACGTCGCTACAACGTTTACAAAATGAAGGAGTGAATCGTTCGTACAATATTAGTTATTAGCCTGTCCAGGGATATGCATACTTCACACCTATCCTAAAGGCATTTGTTTGTTTGTTTGATTTTGTTTAACATCACACTCAGCAATATTCCAGCTATATAGCGGCGGCCTGTAAATAATCGAGTCTTGGCCAGACAATCCACTTATCAACAGCATGAGCATCGATCTACGCAATTAGGAGTACGATGACATGTGTCAATCAAGTGAGGGAGTAGTGTTATTGACAAAGGCCCTTGCGCACATTCTCCAAGTTATACATCCTCAATGCAATACATCCTCCATCAGAGCTACAGATAACTTTTTGGGTCATTGAGTTATGTACTCGCTTGTGTTCATCTCAATTGGGAATCCTAATTTTCTTTGAGTAATCAAACAAATTGTACCCACCTCACTTAAACTCAATTGGGTATTTTGCCATTTTCCAATAATTGTAAAAATATGCTAGAGTTTAAATGTTGGTTTACGTGTTTGTTATCTATATTTGATCTGTAATAAGAAAAACGATAAGTTGCCAAGTTCATGTGTTGAAATAGAACCTCTCAATATACGTCAGTTAGTTTATATATCCACCTGTACACAAGCTAAAATATTACATTTTTGTGTCTACGCATATATAAAAGATCAAATTATTGAGTATTTACAAAAATGCAAGCGTACTTGTACGCAATAGACTTAATAGGAATTGCATTTTCACATCAATATTTCCGTAATTAACGCAGACAATCAACCTATCTGTACCTCTGACTCCATGTAATATTCGATCCCCGACCGCGTCATACCAAAAGACGTTAAAATATGGTACTTGTTGGTCCCTGCCTGGTGCTCTGCATTAATGGGTACAACAAGGACTGGTCGGGTCGGAGTCAGTATAATTTTTATGAGTGGGATATTCATGTTCGCTGCGGCATGGTATCTCAGTGGGCTATAAAACCAGCTTCTATCTGGGCTAGTACAAGCAGCCGCACATACACATACACACGCATGCACGTCGTCATATGCGCGAAATATTCATTAGAACGCCGTTAAACCCAATTTCACCTCATCTCACCATGTAATACATCCTCAAAGTCATAGATCCTCAATGTTATACATCCTCATTGTAATACATCCTCTTGGTAAAAGCGACAAACACATTTCCCTTTTTCTTTAAAATCCATTGTACGACAACGACTATACCCAAGAAGATCCGGGTTAGAATTGATCTTCATTAACCCAATCTTGTCGTAAAAGACGACTAACGGGATCGGGTGGTCACGTTCGCTGACTTGGTTGACACATGTCATCGTATCCCAATTGTGTAGATCTATGCGCATGTTGTTGATCACTGAATTGTCTGGTCCAGACTCGATTATTTACAGACCGCCGCCATATAGCTGGAATATTGCTGGGTGCAGCGAAAAAAAAATAATAAACAAACAAACAAAACGAATACGACTATTTCTTTTGTATATCGTGAGCATGTGATACCACCTGGCGTTCACGACAAGATGTGTGATTCCTGCTCCATCGGGGAACCCGTTACAAACACATGCAAAGGAATTCCATTGTTCACCTGGAATGGTCTATGCATTGACATTTGACTTTTCGATTACACAATGCCATTTAGAAAGTATGTAACATATATGTTATATTTTGGATTACACTTTGTGGAAGTCGCGGTGGCTGAGCGGGTTAGGCGGCTGACTTTGTGTGCTGGCGATTTGGTGCCTGACTCTGAGGGTGTGGATGGGGATTCAACCCAAAAAAGTACTAGAATTTGTTTTTTTCTAAGTAAGTGAAATCCCATATATAACATATGTTACATTTGACTTTTCTTCACCCGGTAACTGAAACTTACTTCAGCTGTCACATAAATAAGTATTAATGTAAATATACTTGACATGTACTGGATGAATGGGAATCGTCGTCACCACATTCACCAGCCATGTTGGACACTCAATACCCTTTGCAATCTTTGGAAACAAGCATTGAGTACTGACATGTAAACTCTTTATAGAACCCATTTAATAGATGACCTCACACTTGCCAAAGACATGATAGCAATAACAGGGAAGTCATATCAAGGATAACAAGATATTTATTCAAGCACACCTCGACTGCATTTCTTCCAACAAGCATCGATGGTTTCGAAGTTGTTGGCGTTGCCGCCACAGCCGCCGTAGATAAGTTTCTTACACGTTTGCGAGGCAGGGTCAAAGGCGAACCGCCGGACACGTGCCGAGCAGGGCCCAACTTCCGGTGTCAGGTTACACACTACAAAATAATCACAACGTACTGTAACAACATGGCAGAGTGAGTGAGTGAGTGAGTGAGTGAAAATGTAGGTCGCGTCTGCATTGTATGTGCCATATAATGACAAAAAACGATTTGTCATACACATTCTAATATTACAATAATGTGTTTCTGTAACATTTGACTGAATACAAAAAAAAAGAAATTAATAAAAAAATAAACAAATAAAAGAAAAAAACCGAAAAAGAAAAAAACAACAACATTACAATAATGCTTACACCATTGTTAATAGAAGGGACAAAACCCTTTCCACATTCACTAGAAATCTCTGAGTCGAGAGTGGATCGTAATAGCACAATTGTATAATTATGACTATATCATGAGCAGATATGTTTCAGCAGCATTACAGATGTATGATGTTGTTTGTAAACAAATCGCGTCTGGACCAGACAATCCAGTGATTGTCGTTGGGGATCATAGGGGAGAGACGGTACCCTTGGTCATGATACCCCAGCAGGACTTCGGTCATAACTTTAGCTACTTGTGGTTGTACCATTGCTAGCCATTATTGAAACTTCTCAGCGATGAGCTGGCTTAAAACAGGTATTACGTGTTACACAGAGGGACAATAATTTTACGGCACTTCTTCCTCCTGGATAATCTCTGTTCCGACAGGAAAGTGAGTGAGTGTAGTTTTACGCCGCTCTTAGCAATATTCCAGCAATAGGGACACCAGAAGATGGGCTTCACATATTGTACCTCATGTTAGGAATCGAAACCTGGACTTCGCCGTGACGAGCGAACGCTTTAACCACTAGACTACCCCGCCGCTCATCCGACAGGAAGGACAGAAGCGATGTAGATCTCAGTTCATTTTGATTAAACACACGGTCATGTCTATTGTACGTGCTGTATTGGAACTATAAATGTGTATTTTCTGACAAACAATTATAGGATTATCGAACACATTACTGCCATGCTTTCATATGCGACAGGGCGAGGGTATTCTCAGATAGTCATATACGATACATTGATCGCAATGCAATTTTAAACAGGTTCCCCTAATATAAACTATGTTTCGAAATATGTTGTATGCATAAGCGTATCACAGTTATTAGTACAAAAAACGATAGAACAATTTCTATAATCATGAGGAAGATATGCAAAATGAATTCATGAAATAACACTTGATTTTTCACTTAGTGTCCATCCTGAAAATCAAGCATCAAAGCTCTCAAGGTTGTACTACCAGGAATTCCAGTACAAAGGACACATAGATCTGTCTTCAGGTTTCAGAGTCAAGCCCAAGTCTTTCTTCAGCTGAAATATTGGCCTTATATGTGTCACTATTTGAAAAAATAATTAATGTACTGAGAGAAGGAGTATGTTAATGTTTCACTTTTACAACTCATAAGATAGTGAGTGAGTGAGTGAGTGAGTGAGTTTAGTTTTACGCCGCTTTTAGCAATATTCCAGCAATATCACGGCAGGGGACACCTAAAATGGTCTTCACATATTGTACCCATGTGAGGAATCGGTGTGACCAGCGAACGCTTTCGCAACTAGGGTTTAAATATATACTTTATGCAAATTGTATGAAAAGTCGGTGGTATCGGTAGAGCATGCTTACCGTTTTTGCGAATATATGTTGTCATCACTGAATGTCAGTGGCCCAATCATGTAGTTTTCACAGTTATAAAGCCAACAAATTCCCTTGCACGGGACCATGAATTTGACATTGGTCTATATAGTAAGATGTGTACGTGTTTTATGGCTATTATTACTATTATTCCGAACGTTGGTATATTAGGCTCTTACCCTTTCAAACTCAATTAGGGCTTTCATCAAAGCAATTATGTAGGACCAACCTGGGCGTCTGGAATGTCATCAAATATATATACAGTGCCTGGAAATTCTTGAAAAAGATAATAATGATTCAGATCCGATATTCCTTATAGTCCATGATGCTCAAACCTGGATGAGAGTGTCCATATGTATGTATGGAATAGACGGGAAGAGTCAAGTACCATTGATACAGGTGTCCTGGCACTGGCTGATGCTCTCGAAGTTGTTGGAATTGCCGCCACAGCTGCCGTATATAAAGGTGTCGCACGTTTTAGTTTTGGCATTAAAGAAATACCGGTTGAGAATCGCCCTGCATGGTCCTCTCTCCGACTGCTCAGCACAAGCTAGAAAGAAAAGCAACAACACACCTTAGGAAAATGCGTAAAGCAGCCAAACGACATGTCGCAAACCCCTGGAAAGGGGAGGGAGTGTATAGTCAAACACTGTTGTGTCGAACCTTGATGTGTCGAATATACCGTTGTCTCGAAGTGAATGTGTGGACCCTTGGTATTACGTCTTTAGTCATCATTTCCCATTGAGCCGAAAACCTTGGTCCCTTTGTACTTGTTATTAGGTAGTCATTTTGCCTCGGATTACTCGAAGTATTCACGTTGGTCACTTTTACTTCGAGACAACGGTGTTTCACTGTATTTTAATATTAAGGATATTTCTAGTAATTTTAAGAGGGAATATATTACGATCAGCCATTCGTCATAGGAATCGTCCTAGTCTGTCTCACAGTCCCTGAACCACATTTTCCCGAACTACCCAGCCCTCCCTAAAGTGCTAAAGCTCTAAATGAAGCAAGTCTAGATTTCCTCAGGTTCAGGATCTCCCAGTTACTATCAAAATTATATGTATTCAAAGACTAAGCGTTGGTCTAGAATAATCCCAACTTCACAACAAAATATAGCCAAGTACGTCTGACAGATCCCTTTTATCTTGTTTCTGGGAGGAAATATAATTCTATCCGTCCATGTGGCATATTGTATGATAAATTGCTGCTTTATATGACAATATAAAGTAAAACAACCTTCAACAGACTGCAATAATCAAAGTCTAGAGCAGACTCGATTATTTACAGACCGTAGTTTGTTGTTTAACTTCGCACTCAGAAATATTCCAGCTATATGGCCGTAGTCAGTAAATAATCAAATCTGGAGCAGACTCGTTTGTTTACTGACTGCTGCGATATAGCTGGAATATTGCTGGAATATTGCTGGAATATTGCTGAATGCGACGTTAAACAACAAATCAACAAAATCATATCAGGAACTGTGCTTGGTAATAATGCTTCGGTGGAAACATAACGTGTAATGTGCGATCTTACTTGGGAAACAGGCTTTCTCACAGTCGGTGATGCTCTGAAAGTTGTTGGCGTTGCCACCGCAACCTCCGTAGAGAAACGACTGACACTTTTGGGTGGCAGGGTTGAAGTGGTACCGATGGAAAATTTCAGTGCATGGTCCTCTGTTCGGCTTTTGGTTGCAAACTGAAGGACAATGTACACCTTGATGTCACGTGAATACAAAGCCGACATTCTTAAGAAGGACAACTAGTATATAAACCATACTTTGAAGACTGTTTAAACGGTATCCACTTACATCTAGATATAATGCAAATATTCCTGTTACTATTTTCCGATGACATCATGTTGTTTTCAAGCACAAATAAAGGCCTACAAAGATTAATGAATTAGAGAATTAGTGTGAAAATGGAAACTAACTGTAAACCAGGCTAAAACAAGGATGGTTGTTTTTAAAAAAATGGAGGTAAACTAGCAAATAATGAAAAATGGTTCTACAAGGGAAATAGACTGGAAACAACCACTTCATATAAATACTTAGTTGTGCATTTTACCAATCATCTTTCATGGTCAGTACACACATCACAGGCATCTACCCAAGCAAAGAAAATAGTAATAGGTATTACAAAATTTATACATATTTTAGGCGACTTGTCTTACAACTCCTTTTTCAAAATATTTGATGCCAAACTAAGCTTTGGAAAAAAATTGTTCTCTGGTGCAGATGTATGGGGTTTGGGCTTTGATGTTATAGAAAAAGTCTATTTGTATGCATGTAAGAAATTTCTTGTCGTAAAAACAGCCATGTCAAATGGTATGGTTTTCGGAGAATGTGGGAGATATCCATTGTTCATAAAATATATACTCTGCAAAAAGAAACGCACAGGTGATAATGAAATTTAAAATTAACTTTATTTTATTTCTATGCAAACAAAACCCGGTTACTTTAACCAAACATAATGTATACTTGTTCATATCCATTATATCGCTCAAACACACCATTTCATGAAATATTGTTGTTTGATGATGGTTTTGAAAATATCATGAAATTTTCACGTGTAAATGACACTTCGAACGATATGCACGTGAAAGTTGCTTCACCTATGCACCAGTGTGTAGGGTATATGAGGAAGGCAGTTTAACGTGTTCAATTCACTTTCAACGCCAGTTTACTGACGAATTCAACATGCCACGACTTAGCGAAGCTGACCGGAACATCGCCATCGGACGTCTTGAAGCTGGCGAATCTCAGTCATCAGTTGCAAGACACTTCAACGTGCATCACACAACAATTTCCCGTTTATGGAGGCGCTACAATCAACTGGGCTCGACCCGCGACCGACCTCGGAGTGGTAGACCACGGGTAACCAATGCTGCACAGGACCGCTACATCCGGGTGTTCCATTTACGTAACCGGGCCGTCCCAGCAACACAAACAGCAGAGAACGTCCCAGGTCTTCGCCGCGTCTCCGCCCAGACCATCAGAAATCGCCTCAGACAGCACGGGATACGCCCTCGACGACCTCACGTAGGATGCACACTACGACCTCATCATCGCCTGGCACGTGTTCGATGGTGCAGGAACGTCCAGAGATGGAATTGGAGACATTGGCAGCGAATTTGGTTCAGCGACGAATCTCGTTTCCAACTTCAAAGACACGATGGTAGGACGAGGGTCTATAGACGGAGAAACGAACGTTACGCCCGTAATTGTGTAGTTGAAGCGGACAGATTTGGAGGGGAAGTGTGATGGTATGGGGCCATTTCTTACAACGGGAGAAGTGACTTGGTGCACGTCCGTGGTAACCTGACTGCAATTCGTTACAGGGATGAAATTCTGCAACGTCATCTTTACCTGTCATCAACCCTCAACGTCACGTTTTCCAACAGGACAACGCCAGACCGCACGTGGCTCGCATCACGATGGACTACCTGACGAATCAGAACATCACAGTTCTTCCCTGGCCTTCAAAATCCCCGATTTGAACCCAATAGAGCATTTGTGGGACCAGCTTGGGAAACGCGTTCGACGTCGTCAGCCTCAACCCCAAACGTTGCAACAACTGTCTCAAGCCTTGCAGGAGGAATGGAGGAGGATCCCCAAGCACGGATTCAAAGACTGATCATGTCCATGGACAGGAGGTGCCAAGCTGTGTTGCAAGCTCGAGGTGGTCACAACAGGTACTGACCTCCACGCCATCTGTACGCCCGGTGCAATGGTTTCAGAGACAATGATAGCTGCATGTTGTAAAGCTGACTCTTGACAACATCCATGTGAAATTTTACGTTCGTGCGATCATTAGTTAAAGTTTTATTTGGAAACAAAATAAAGTGTTTACATTCCTGAGTTTTCACCTGTGCGTTTCTTTTTGCCGAAAATGAATTTAATTTTTATGTGTTTGCCTAGCATACCTATGGTTAATAAATAGATATATGAAGAAACATTATTATGTACACCCTGAAACTCATAACTATATATCATTGATGAATAATTCTAGTAAAACACATTTAGAAAGCTTGTCCCTATATATTCACAAAGCTTGTATTCTCAGAAAGAATGTACTATTACGCACACTATGTACTATAAATAATTATTGTACTACAAGCCTGTGGCCTTTCAGTATGAAATAAAGATATATTGCTTGACAGTTGTCACACAAATAATGAAACTACGGACGTCCGATATTCTAATGTTCTTTTTTCAATGTCAGATAGTCACCAAACATGTCTGGAATGGTGAGGTTTCTGCAACTGCATAGCATCATTTTTTAAGTAATAATAATAGGGTTTGCAATGAAACATGTAGCTATAATTACTACACATTATGTCTCTATTCCGATTTTTCTGGTGCAAGACGTGTTTACCCATTCTGCGAACATCTGTTTTATCATCACCGATATTCATTGATACATTCATAAGAGTCTTACCACTATTTGGCCATAAATGTCACATGGAACCTGTTTCAGCACATAATCAAGACGTTACGTTGATCTGTGATAATTCAGATGTAAAATAAAATACAATAGTATGTAGCTACCTGTCATACATTCTAACTAGTCGAAACAACCTACCAGAAGTAAACATCATACAACAATTTGAAAACAGACGAATTGAACAAAATAAACTAACGAAATGTGACATTAAGTAGTGATCTCTCATATCACGCCACTCTTAACGGCAGATTGCAGTGTCTTAGACGCCCGGGTTAGATGTACCCCTAAAGTATTTACAACATACTATAGATGCAACACAAACATATAATGTCACGAAGCCATTTGACATTAGTATCAAAACGTTAACATCTGATATGCAACACAATCAAAATATAACTTAGCCATTATGCTTTTAAAGACCAAGCATTAGTAAGTAAAGTGTCATTCTTTTCTGTTTTATTTCTGTGTGTCTTTTTTGCGCTTCTTTCAGCAATATTCAAGCTATACGATGGTGGTCTGTAAAACATCGCGCCTTGTCCAGACATTCTAGTGAACAACAGCATGAGCATCGATCTGTGCAATTGGTAACGATGTCATGTGTCAACCGAGTCAACCATCCACCCGATCCATCTTACGACAAGAATGGGTTGCTGAAGATCATTTCTAAACCTTTATCTTCACGGATTGGTAATGTTATTAAACATTAATGCTAGAACATGACATAACTATACAATTTTCCTCAGGTCCTAAAGAAATCTGTATACTACACCTTCAGCAGTAGGTTCCTGCTCACTGAATTCCACAAGGAGGATCACAAAAGCTAAATAGAGGTAAACATTCGTCATAGCTCATGTAGACCCGTCTCGGATGTAAAGCAGTGGTCTTCGTTTATGACGGAAAATCTATTCTTCAATTTCATTCTTTTCAAGGTGTTAAAAGCCACGCCTATGGTTTTGTTTTGATCCTTGTATGATGTAGAAGTATTACATTGTCACATATGCGTATATGTGTTTAAGTCAGCACGACATCTGTGTATGTAATTACGGCTTATCTTGTATTGATTCATACCTGCTACAACGTATGAGTGACTTCTTTGGGGGCATTTAGAAGTTGGAGCAGTAAGAAAGGATGGCTATATATGGATGAACAACAGTGAAATGGACGTTTCGGTGTCGGTTCTAACAGTTATCAAGCATGTGATGAACAGCATGAGGATAGAGAAGCATATATACAAGTTTTGAGGAGATGTTTGTACACTACAAAAGGGGATGAGGACTGCAATGGCTTAGGGAAGTCAGTAACAATAACCAGACATTGCCCAGTAGATGGAAGCATTAACAAGTGAAACCTGCAGTATAAAACAAAGGGACAGTGAGGCCTGTAGTACACACAAAAGGGGAAGGGGTTATCAATGATGGTGAGTTGGTAGTAAGCGTATGAGTGGATGAATCACTAAGATAAAGAATAGAGGCGTATGTTTGAAAAACCCAGACCACTACAAAATTATAACATATAGGCCTATAGTTTGGTGACAAACTAATTCACGAACACAGCAAATAACCAGTACAGATAACTCGTCGAATCATTATTTCGGATCATCTTTAAAAAAAGAGCGCCAGAAAAAGATTTGTTCAGAAATGTCACTGGCACATTCGTTGTATACATTGTACAAAGTAGAGGAACTGCAAACACAACAAGCTCATCTGATGATTTATGGAGATACGTCGAGTCTGCAGCAAGTGCGAAATTTAAACCTGTAAGGACACCCAGGTTTGTTAAGCCAAGGTATGTTTGTTAACGGAAATAGCACCACAACCTTCATAATTTAACATATTCAAACACCGCTGTGTCGAATCTCAAGGGACCTACGTAAATACTTTGAGATATGCAAGGTTGGATGAAACCGCAAAATGACGACTGAGTGGGCCTACGGAACACAAGGGACACACCGACCAGTAGGTTCGACTCATCAGGGATCGACACAATGCTGTTTGACTGTATGTCTAATGCCTGTATTTTGTGGGTATAGAGAACGGCATTCTCTTCCATGTGCTTTAACTTCCACTCGACTGAAGGCATCTACTGGTGCAATAGTCTTTCAGTGATTTATGAACCGTTTGTTTCATATTTAGATCCACAAACCACTCACAAGACCGTGTTACCACTTTCGAGGAATATTCCAGATACAATAATTGGTATCCACATTTCACTAACTGTGAGGTACATGCAGTCTCCACCTAAACTTCAACCCCTCTATACAACTCTTTCTCAAATGCTTTAGATCATCGACCCTGTGTTCTTCCTGATCAACACCTGTTTTGCCTTTCATTCGTCGTGACAGGGGCTCCAGGGACAGAATGCTTTCACCTTTGCGAAAAAAATATGCATTGTCTTTATAAGATAGTGATTTTTTAATGCATGTTCAAGTAGTACTATGGCCTGCTTTCAGCAGAGACTTCTTAAAAGAGTTTTCGGGTTTTGTTAATTTTATTTACAAAATCTGTTATCATGTTTACGTTAGGGATATATCGCATCTGAGGATCTAACTGGATCTACCTGCAATAGCTGGTGATATCCATCCTTTGATCCATCAATGTAATTACAGCTGACTTTCAGGATAAGGAATACTGATTTAATAGTGGGGAAATCAATGTTATTTCACAAATCTATATTGTTCTGGATTTGCATATCGTGATCAATTCTTCAGAACCGTGTTCTGTTTATTAGCTTTACATTAGTGAAAATGTATGAAAAACGTGTTACATAATCCATAGATTGGTTTTACGATCAATTTTGCGACAAACGGCAATATATCGCACAACGTTAGATGTTGTAATCTCTAACTCATTAAAGTCTTACAAAGATCAAAAGTAGTAAAACGCCCTTGTGGGCCTTACAGTCATACAAGCTGCGATTATATCTTTAGGCACAGTTTTATTTACAACAATATTGAAATGCTTAACTGAACATACGTCTGAATAAGTTTGAGTATTTTTATATGTATTGAGAGTCTATGTCAGATAGTTCAGACCGATAATCTTCTGCTATTTCACTTGTAGTGTGTGAGTTCGATTCTATGTAATTTTTCAGGTATAGTCCTGACATGTAGATACAAGCAGAACGATGCTTTATAATTATCTAGAATTTCAGAAATCAGTATCTTTGTTGATATATAGATTTGAATTGAAGAATTAGTTTTATTCTTCTGAATGTGACATTGAACAGATTTAGAGGGGACTCATCATTATTTTATTTTGTACGTATTTTTAGATAGGAAATCATAAGTGTTAATCTGGTGATATTCACTCATTCAATAAACCAGCAAACACATAAAAAGTATACATGAAGCATTTGTTCTGACATTCATCTTTCTAATATTATTCTTTGACTTTCAATACATAATTTGTGCTTTGACAGGTGGAAACAGCTCCGAGAAGCAAGGTTGCCTGTTGTGATCTCATTACCCAAGGTGCTCATGTGGATTAGCTGTCCTGCAATTAGTCCAGCAGGGTTGCGTACCTTATGCCTTCAAGAAACCTGCAATCGTGGGTTCGAATCCCTGATTCACCTAAATCATGTTTCTTGGTTTGTCACCATCAGTCTCGCATGTTTCACCTAAACTACAAAAACAGCGATGATATTCCGAAAAAAAACGGTATCTATTTATCAATTTTCTAGGACTTGGATTTGCTTAAAAACGATAATATTTTCCCACAAATTAAAGACTAAAATATGTTTGCATTTAATAGAAGAAACGTAATTGTTTCATTATGTAATGAGAGGAATTTAGTGTGCTTGCATTCTCCTTTCAAAATGACAATGTCCTCCTTGAAAATTACATGGCTTGTCCCTTTCATGTGAGCCCAACTCGAAAATGACAATCGGCAACAGGCACAAATCACATCTCGGAAGGTTCTGCTGACTTTGTTCAAACAGGGGCCCGTTTCACAAAGCGATCGTAGCGCTACGACTGTCGTAAGTCTATGTTATAGTATGGGAGTTACGATCACCCTAACGGTACGATCGCTTTATGAAACGGGACCCTGGAGAACAACAAACGTCAAGCAGATGACATCCTTAAACATGGCGGATAGAGAATATCTTTCGAGAAAACCAGGCGTCGTTCATCAAATTCTTACCCGTGATGATCCGGGTTAGAATATTGATCTTCAGTAACCCATTCTTGTCGTAAGAGGCGACTAACGGGATCGGGTGGTCAGGTTCGCTGACTTGGTTGAACCACTTGTCATTGTTTCCCAGTTGCGCAGATCGATGCTCATGCTGTTGATCACTGGACTGTTTATTATTTCTACCTTTTACAAGCATCACATCTGCATCTGTATTGGCACTTATAGACAAACTCAAAATAATCCGTTTGTAACAAGATGTAAACATTATACGGTCATGGACTTCAAATAATATCATGTTGATACATGTTAAACATTTCTTTACATCATTTCATACAGACTGCACATTCACAAACTCAGCTGATATTATTTATTTAAAAATGATGACATTTTGACGGGTTACCCCCTATCATTCTCAGCTTGTTTCTGATTCAGTTATACCTAAGCGTGAATAATTGTTCCTTAACGTCATTGTGAGCAATACGCCAGTTGTACGCACAATGGCGTGTCAATAATTCAATCGTGGTCTAAATAAAACAAATTGTTAATGGCCTCACCAACAATCAGTGGCGTTGGGTTATATGATCCTCAGTATCAGTATCAGTAAAACCAGGCATTGTGATCAAGCACGTGGGATTGGTGACTTATTCCCACCCAGAATCATGGTCTCTAAAGAATCAAATCTCGACAAGACAATCCACTGATTGGCAACATGAGCCTTGATCAAAGCAACTGGGATGCTATGACATGCATCAACCAAGTCAGCAAGGCCTGATCTCATTACTCGCCTCTCACGATAAGGATGGGTTGCTGAAGATCTTTGGTTTGTATAATTCCTTAATATTTATGCTTTTTAATGGCGGTCGTCCAAACACGGTTTATATGTGGCAGTGCAAGGTACCCTTGCTTTTTAGGTCGTATTTCTGCGTTACCTTTTGATAACCTGGATCAAACAGCAATACTTTTATAATCGGTTACTCACGTATTAATGAGTGAAAATATTTTAAACTCAGTGTTTATATAGCATGATAAAGCATGGCTGTGCATTTGAGACACATAGGTGACTATAAAACAACATAAATACCTAATACGTTGTGGATCAGTTGTATTTCAGTGTCCTCGTGTTGCCAGTGAACTTCCGAAATCCCCTCTGAAATGTACTTGTGTCATTCAAATATTAAACATTCACGAAGTGTACTTGTTGATGACAAAATACTGAAGTAACCACTGAAAGTGTGGTGTAATTGTACCCAAAATGGAATCACAATGTACTCTATGTACTTAGAATAGTGAAAATGTTCGGCTTTCGCAATAGACAGGATGGCATTAGATGGATGCGTTGAATTTACTTTGTCATCAGCTCCTGTCTACCTCTCAAAACTGACACAACTTTATTGTCCATCTGGATCACTTCGATCAGAAAACCAGAACCTCTTGACAGTACCCAAAGTCAAGCTCACATGATTTGGACAACGCTCCTCTTTCGCTGCTGCTAAAGAGAGGAATGATCTGCCTCACCACATCCGTTCCTGCTCTATTTATCCCAAATTCAGAAGTCTCTCTTCCGAGAAACTTCCTGTTGACTCTATTGACATTTTGTGCGCCCTGAGCAGGGTATTTAGCCTGGAAAGGCGCGATACAAATGTTCTCTGCAAACAAAAATAAGATGAACTGGAATGTGCAATTACATGTTTGCTGATATCTAGTGACCTTGACTTTCGACAGATATATGTCTGTTTTC